AAACTCCATCTTAAACAAACAAACAAAAATTTACTCTCCAGGAAAAATATTAAAATTAAAAGTTGAACTTCAATAACTTTAAATACATTTTAAAGCAAATGTAATTAATCAGGAAATGATGGTAAAACTTGGAAGAAATGTCATGTTCTGACAGAGCAGAATACAGATCTGTGACAAAATATGAAAGTGATCAAGGGAAGACATATATGAAAAATTTCCAATTTCTAATCCTGGTTTTCACCTAATTTTTTTAAAAAGTCTGATAAGTGAACAGCAAAATAAGGAGATACTAACTTTAAAAACCAATTTTACAATAGTAGAGTATATGCTTATAGTCAGCACACCTGATATTAAAAACAAACCTCCAGAATAACATTTCCAATCAATTGGTAAACCACTGTCGCAAACTGTACACACAAGGCAAAGGGTCTGTGTTCATTTCACTACTGAAGAGTAGATGGCATGAGGGCTGCCAATCTAATACTTCACCTTTACAGGCACCTTAACCACTCTTCTGATAACTACAAGATCATTAAGTGTACAATGCATTGTCTGACATTTAGTAGATGTCTATTCAGATGATGTCATCTCAGCTTCAAGCAATCCCCACAACTGTCCCAGTCAGTGACTGATGCAGTGAGATTCTCAAATAGCTTTCCCTTCCTCACAGAGTCCAAGAGTTAAGAAGTTAAAATGGAGAAAGCAAGTTACTCTTCTCCCCTTATTTCATTCCCTTAAAACTGAATGCATCCAAGGCTAAAAAATGGGACTTAAAGTCTCCTTTGGTGACTAAAAAAAGAACAAACTGATAAACAAGTATGTAACAAAGAAGGGACTAAAATAAACTGGAAATACAAAACCATATTTTCAATGCTTCTGGAAAATGAACCAGTGAGCCAAAAATATTCAAGACTTTTATATACATGCATACACACACTTAACAACTACTTTAGTGAAAACACATTTCATTTTTCAGTATTTACTAATCACTTCTCATGCTGTAAGCTTTCCATATGATAAAAATCACAATTAGCTCTAAAGTATAATTCAATTTGGTATCTGAATTAAGGTATCATTAAGTTTTTAGAAAAAGGTAGTCTTATCTACGAAATGTTAAGCTTCAGAAATAGAAACTACATCAGCATCAACTGCACGATTAACCCAAGATGACTATGGTAATTAGAAAGAAAAGGGAGTTACACATCTGGGGATATGGAGGTAAGACAAAAATGCAGTTTGACAGAACATGGTTTGTTATTTAAGAAGAGCAAAGAGAAATGCAAATACTGTTTAGTTTTGCTAACGCAAAAAAAACTAGAAGTTTCTACAAGAAGTATAATTAGAAAACACTATCATTTGCTTGGCTACTTTTGCATTTAATGGACATGAGGTAAAAATATGAGCCAATTTGGAATTAAAATGTCATAATCTCACAGTCAACTCCTGATTATCTACACTAATGAAAAAGGGGGTTATCTTAAACGATTTGAAGCAATAGATGGAGAGTTCTCAACCTACTGCTACTTTCAGCCAATCTTTTCCCTTCTTCAAGTAGTCTGTCCTCTAAAGGTTTAGACTCCAGTGTTTTAGGGTCCAAAAAGGGCCATCGGGAAGAGGCCTGACCGATAGACTATCTCCAAACTGAACCATCCAGCCATAGATAACTGAGTTGACGTGACTGACACATATTCCAGTCAATAAATTGCAAATGGATGGACACTACATGCCAAGCATGCTTCAGAGTAATTTCTGAAACTGTAAGAATGATGACTGAGACTTCCCCAGCAAGAGCAAAACATGCTAGTGCCTAGTGAAGAGAACAAGTAGCTTACCTCCTGCAGTAGATCGGCCTGCTCAATTGCTTTAAGGACATTTTTCTTGGATGTTTCCTGAACTTCCCCTCCCAAAAGAAACTCATCCAAAATAAAATAAGCCTTCTCAAAATTAAAGATGATATCTAGTTCACAGACCTGAAAAGGAAAAAAAAAAAGAAAAGAAAAAATTGTTAAAACTTGCAGAAGCCTAAGATGCTTATTCACTACCAGGTAGTGAATAAAATCAAATCAGAGTGAATCAATCTTAACTCTTTCTAAATATGACTAAGTATCACTGGTTTAAGTAAGCTTAATTTCCAAATCTCAAGTACTTGAAAACATATTCCTACAAGCTAAATAAGATTGGGCTCTGCATGTTCCCAATGTGGGCAACTTAATAATTTCTAGTAATAAAAACTGATCTTTAAACATGTATTTCCTGGGTAACATGATCAGAACTGCTAACCAAATCTAAATTCTATACTAAGCACTTACAGGATATTAATGTTTGTCGTTGGACTTGTTTATATTTCACTATTTTAAACCTCATCCTCACCATCTTAATTAAATGAGTTACGTCTGCAGGGCCAGCAATTCTGAAAGTTAGGAACTGACCAGGCCCACTGACAAGAAATAGTCATTCCCGCCCTCTCCTGCGGTTAGAATCCCCAAGACAACCAAATAATAAACTTGTTAGAGAAAAGGTTCCAAAAAATACTATGGCATTCAATTTCCTAAAATAAAATACTACTCACACTGCCGAAATACTTGTCAAGTAATTCCACATAACGATGAATTATTTCCAGGGTAATTAGTTCATTGTCCTGATCCTCAATAGCACAGCAAAAATATAGACTAGCATATCTGTAACGAAGTACAAATGTGAAAAAAACTATTACCCTGTAATCATGTTTTCTAAATATATTTTCACATCCTATTATGAAAGGCCCCAAGTTTATACAGTTTATTTCTTCTTTCACAACAGTACAGATTTTTCTCGTAGACTACAAAAGTAATAAATGCATAAGAGAAATTTTGAAAAGCATAGGCAAGCAAAAAGAAAAAAACAAAATAATCATACCACTTAGAAAGAATAAGTGATTTTGCCCTTCTTCCTTTCAGGTTCTTTTCTATAAACATTTTAAAACACAGCAGACCCAGGTTTTTCCTAAGTTTACTTAATTAAAACAAAATACATAACAGATTAATTCAAACTATAAGTACAGAGAAGAAAATGAAACCTTTCAACTGACGGAGGACTTGTTGAAGATAATGTCAAGATGAGGTCAATATTTTGGGACATTTTATTGGAATATGTATAATATACACATAGAGAGGACCTTAAGTCCTACAAGCTCAATAAATTTTCAAAGTGAACTCAACTATATACCAGCACCCAGATCAAGAAGCTGAACACTAGTGAACCCTGAAACTCCTCTGCTACCCTCTCCCAGTCACAACCTCCCATCCCCAAGGGTAACTATGCTCTTGACTTCTAACAGCATATAATTATTTTTAAAAAGGTTTCTAGGATTGTGGAATAAACCACACGAAAAGAACAACAGCTCCACGTTATTACAGAAGTTAGAGAAAGAGAACAGAAAGTTCCTATCACTTAAGGGAAACAGAGACCTGTCCTCAAATTTACCAAGTTCTACACTGTTGAACTGAAGTGTAGTTTATTTACCCTAGAAGAGGGAATAAGGTTGGGAAACTTATATTTTCCTTCAAATTAGGATTCTAGCATACGGAATCAGGTGATGCTTGACCCAAGGAAGCAAAACTTCAACCTTGAGGCATACCAAGTCCTTTGAGGAGGATTAAAAGGGCATTTTAAAATGGTTTACATGTACTTAAGCCTTTTGAAAAGAAAGAAAATAAAAACCTAAGATAGGCTAAACATAGAATATCTCAGTGGAGATTATAATTTTCACTGAAGATCACTTAATTGATTTTTAGAAAACACAATGGGCAGTTACTGCTCATAGCATTAATGTAAAATAATACTGTATACAAAATAACACAAACAACCTGTTTTGAGTCTCAATGAATTCTTGCTCCTTAGTGTGAAAATAACTAGTATTCACACAACAGCATTAATTTCATTATTAAAACATTTCATCTTATTTGATGTTTTCAACAGCAAGTACTATCTTTCATCATTGATTACAGATTAAAAAAAGACAAAAAAAAACAACAACAAAACCGAGGCTTAAGAGTACAGCGCCTACAAGTGCTAGTAGTGGGATAAGAGACCTGATCTTCTGACCTTAACTCCAGGCCTTTTTCCACTGTGTCATACAAACTCACTTGGCATATTTATCATGACTTTGTGCATGTCTACTCTACGTGTCTTCCACACTCAGTAAGTTATTTAAAATGGTGGGGCTCCTGCAGTCTTATTGAGAGGAGGTATTCACATGTGTTCATTTATCATCATTGTGAAGGGAATAAGTCATGGAAGACAAAACAGGGCATCAATGCCAACTTTAACAAAGTGCTCCCTCTCTTTCCCATCACTACTCTGTTTTTGTCTATCTATTTAAAAGAGAATGGAGTATTCCAACTCTCCATCCTCCCTAACCCGTGCTCATTAAATAGAGGGGAAACTGATAAATGATACATAAGATTCCCTGATTTAAGAAAACTAAAGATTAAAGGGACTGACATAAAAATGGTAGATTAAAAACCAGATATGACTAGCTGATAGGAACAGAATTCTAAATAATTTATTATACAAAGTTTACTAACAGTTTCAAGTAAAATTCCTTTTACTCTAAGATTTCCTCATGCTACTATTAAACAATCTAATGCTCTTACCATCCTCGCTCCTTATCCACAGTACTGCCTCTTTCCTTACAAATAAAAAGCACTTAAACACTAGTCAAAGGTCCTAAACTGCATGAATCACTTGGAAGCATTAATTTAAAAATCATCAGGAACGATGCGCCTAAGCCCCAGCCAGTAATGTTTACTTTCACTCAGAATGGAAAAAGAATAATCAAATTAATGAATTCTTTGGTGTAGGTGAACAGATAGCTATCAGGATAATGATGTGCCTCTTTCCAGAAAGCTTAGGGAAAGAAAAAACAGAAGCATAATAATTAAGTACCATTCACTGAATCCTCGCCCTACATGGGACACTAAATGTTAGCTAAGGCTTTTGCATATTTTACCATTCTAATCCTCACAACAACCGTATCCATGAGATACCATTATTACTTGCATTGATAAGAGACCCAGGTTTGAGTAACCTGCCTAGGAACAGCAATTTGACTCTAGAGCCCAAGTTTTACATTAAAAACTATAGCCAGCAATTGCATTAAAGTAATCCCATACCTGGCAAAAATTAAAATATGCTCAAAACAATATTTTAAGAGCTTTGAAGAGGAGAGAAATAAAAAATGCCATACTGATTTAGTAAAAGATTACCAAGAGAACCTGAAGTGTACTTCCTATATTTAGGACCAAGTGGTTTTTAAAAATTCAATAATGAGCTCATTTTGTTCTCTTAGTGCCTATTTGTAAGTCTAAAACTGAAGTAAAATTAATAATAGACTAGTAAGAAGAAAGGTATGTTTGGTTATTTTTAGCACAGTGGATTAAGGCTTACTCTAATTACTGGCACTCAGAGAACATCTGAAAGTGCCTATTCTTATATTCAAAACACATGACTTCTCCGCAGTCAGCTAAATATCAGCTAAATATCAGCTGACTGTGGGTGACTGTAGCTAAAGTGTTCTCAATACTCACTGGTATGTCATTAAAAATTCTTTTGTTAGTAAAGAAAATCAATAATTATTCTTTAACAAATTCTCAAGCTAGTAATTTGGAGATATATACGTTTTTAAATTAATTTTAAAAGACCTTAATCCAGTGACTCTTCCACAAAATGCTACACAAAACAGAAATCAAAAAAGCATAGTATTCTGTCTTGAAGGGATCCTCAAGAACATTTATTTTAGAGATAAGGAAACAAAGTGACTTGTTTAAAGTCATAAAACTAGCTAATGTTACAAAGGGAACAGAACTTAAGTCCCCAGATTTTCAGTCTGTCTTTTCAGCTAATATTAATTATTCTTATCCATCATTCCCCCCTCAAAAGGGGGAATTTGTATGCCAAATACTCAGGATGAAGAATGTAGATGAAATAATTTAACAAAAACAACAAAAATCACTTGCTGATATGAACAGCAAAAGTCCCAGTCCAAAATTTCTCAGGAGCTAAGCAGTAATTCTCTTGCTTAAAAAGCTCTTCACTTCCAGCAGTAGGGAAAACAAATCACCTGTTTATACCAACAAAAAAAATGTCCATAAGTGGTAGAGCAGATGAGGTTTTCGGTATGAAATGGAAGGGGGAACACATAGAGAAAGAGCTGATAAATTCCACCTTTCATATATGACTGATATCTCAATAAAGCTGTTATTTTTTTAAGTCCACCTTTTATTTAAAGGTGCTTGATATAAGTATCAGAGTTGGGTCGGATACCCTTTGTAGCTTTTAAAAGAAAAAGCAGTGGCTCAACACGGATGGACGGGCTGAGTGACATGTACATGAACACCAAGCAGTGCTTTCCTTTCTTCCCATAAAAGCCCATTCCTGGGATTGAATCCCTTGCTGGTATTTTCCTCCTCCACACGGGGGACTCCTTCCCCTATCTAGAAATAAGCTGAAGCCTCTCACACCTTCTTTTTTAAAAACCTTGTCCCCTATTCCTATGTCTATGAGTGGTTACCACCTCGTCTCCTGTCCTTCACAGCTAAGTTCCCCAAAATAGTCTACACATGCTATTTAAATTTCTCCACCTCTTCACACTTCGCCCCATTACATCGAGAGTTCTATCTCCACTATTCCACTAAAAATGATCTGGCAAAGGGCATTATATGAAACGCTCACTGTAAAATCTACCAGATTCCTTCCTTACTTTCATTGAACTTTATGCAACATCTGGCATTGGTGAAACTTCTCATTCCACTCTGAAGGTCCCTTCTTCACCTCCTTTGCCTGCCACTTGAATGCTGGTGATCTAATACTTTGTCTTATTTTCCCCAGACTTCCATACCTACGCCAACCACATCCCACCAGAAAATCAGGCTTCTCTTAATGAAAGTCACATAGACATCCCCAAAATCAACTTGCCCCAAAATAAGCTGAGTTCTCTAGCTCACCTTGTACCCCATCAGCAAACCAGAAATGTGGAGGTCACACCACTCCTCCCTTTCCTTCGCTGCTCTCTCCACTTTTTGTTGTTGTTGTTGTTGTTGAGGGTCTCACTCTGTCACCTAGGCTGGAGTGCAGTGGCCCAATCAGGGCTCAGTGCAGCCTTGAACTCCCAGGCACAATCAATCCTCCCACCTCAGCCTCCAGAGCAGCTAGGACTACACGTGCATGCCACCATGTCCAGCTAACTTTTTTGTTTGTTTGTTTTTATTGTAGAGACGGCGGGTCTCACTAAGTTGCCAGGGCTGGGCTTTAACTCCTGGGCTCAAGCGATTCTCCTGCCTCCGCCTCCCATGTTCTTCCCACTTCTAGAGGTGACCAAGTCTTATCAAACCTACCTATTTGATAATGGCTATTTAGTAATAGCCCTCCTTTCCAGCAAATGGGTTCAGGATCTCAAATAGTCTCCTACTGATTCTGTAGGTGCCAGTCTCAGCCCCTCCTGCCCTCATCCATTGTCCCAGTTCAGTCTTTTAAGATATGTAAACCTGATCTTTTTCCAGCCCTGTTTAAAATCTTTGCCTCCAAGCTTAAGATCTGAGTTGCAGCCCCAGGTCAATCACTAACTGGCATATGGCCCTAGACAAGTGACCTCTCCCAAATTCACATTCATTAAAAAATTGAAGTTTGATCAACAACGGCAGTTTTCAAACTCAGGAACTGTCTCCTGTGCAGAGGGGTAAAGGCCAAGTGAGCCAGGATACAGGATCCCCGTTTCTGATTTCACGTGGAGCAGCCTCACTTCCAGTCATTTTATTTATGGTTCTACCCATGGGGCAAAAAGCTTAAAACGAAATAAAACAGAACAAAATCACCTGACTAGATTACTGTAAAACATCTCTCACCTCTCAAATGATATGATTTTTCTATGATCTTTAATAAGACCAAACCAAACACTGGATACAAAATCACCCAAAGACACTAAATCACCAAAGATCATTCAATAATAAAGAGGAGTCCTCAATATTTAAGAAACTCTCTATGTCTTGTAATCTCCATTTCTTCCCAGCCATCTCCCTGACAAAATATCCAACCCATATCTGGAGTGCAATAAATGGAAGCCGAGAAGAAAACCAGACTTCTCTCCCACCCTCATTTTATCCCATACTGTTACTTCCATGCATATTCCCCACACAAGAGAACTTTTTATATGCAGAAATGCTCTTATCTTAAATTCAGTAAATAATTCAAAAAGAAACAAATGGGGAATGAAGTAAATGTCCCCTCAAAAAATGTTCTGTAAAAGAAAGTTTATTTCTTTTACCCTACTTAGAACAATCTTGAGAAATTTATTTTAGGGTATTCAGGGATTCAGATATTTATAAAATAAAGATGTATAGCATTAAAAAAATTTTCAGTGTTAAAAGCCAATCTATGAGTCATTTTGTAACATCAAAATTTTAAAAAATCTGTCCTTGGCAAAATTATCTGTCATATTTAACTGCACCCCCACCATAGCAACAAGGGTACTTAAAGTTAATAAACACTACTCACAAACAGATCTCTTATACACATAAAGTTTTTAAAACAGCTATGTGATTGAAATAGTCTACATATTCAAGGTATTTATACGTAAGATTCTAAAAATCAGATAAAAGGCATGACAAATATTAGTCATTGCTTTATAGATTTTCGGAGAAAAAGGATTAGACTATCTATACTTTACTAAATTCAGATAATTACTCACACAATTTAAAATACTGACCCTACTTTCCCCTGCAATGAAATGAATTCATTAAACTCTTCTATAAAGATGATTAAGCATGAATAATCATTTATGCCTTCAATTATATAACTAGTTTTCAAATGATTTCCCTGCCTTTATCATTCCAGCCTCAGTAATTACCAGTGAAAACACCAGTTATTTTAAAAACACAAAGCTTTACCTTAAACCTGTTTCATCTAAATCTTTATTAATCATTATTTATAAATGTCATCACTCAAAAGTCTGCAATTTCCTAAATGACCTGACATTTGATTCTATTTCACCTTTATGATAAATAAAAATTATACCTTTTGTAAACAATCTTCAGATCTCGCCACTCAAGGAAGCTGCACATTTTAGGTTTCCGTGCTAAAACGGTCTGAACAAGTTCTCTTGTGATCTTTTTCTTCTCTTTGTCTGATAGTGGGACATACCATTTTTGCAGTCGAAGCTTTCCCTGACGACTAAAAAGCAACATAAACTGCATCTGTTAAGATAAATAAAATCAAGATTACATGTAATACTTTGAATCAATAAAGTTAAGATTATGTGTTTCACAGAGAAGCTTTGGGGGATGGGGCATTTAAATGACAAATGATTACTAGCCATCAATATTTCTATGCCAATTAAAATAGCAAGAAATTCTTTTGGACAGATCTTCTCTAGATGCAAACCTTCCAATCCCACCCTGTTCCACTTTAAGTTTGGAGGGGAGTGTGCAAGAGAAAAAAGAAAAATTTGTAATAAGCTGAAGCGAAATTTTTCAAGAAAAATAAAGACCACTCTTTCAATTTAAGAAACTATTTTCTACCTGTGCTATACATTGCGCACTCTCTATATGTATCAAAAGAAAATGGTAGACATCAATTGATTTGGGTATTTTTGAAAGAAACGGAAGACCTGCTATTTTTCACCCTGAGGCCATTCTAGTTCCAGGGTGAACTACTTGTAGACAGTAGCTTATATCTTAGAATGCTCTCGTCGGTTTATGACGGCATATTTCAAGCAAAACAGAATGATCCAAAATATTAACCGAAAAATCCCATAACTACAAATTTTCCTTAATAAAAAAGTATGTTTTCATCTTACTTTTAAAACATTCCAACTTAAATATGTACAAAATCTAGAACTGAGTTAATGTAGTATTATGAAAAAGAAAACAAACATTTAAAAGGCCACAATAAGATTTACACTTGTTAAATAAGATTTAGTATTGAAACATTACATGAAATACTTTAAAAAAATAGTATCTACAGATAGAGTGGATGCTGAATTCTAGTGTGTTTTATACTTAAACTAATTTGTATGTATTTATTTGTGATCGCAAATGTGTTGATTAGTCTGCATGTTTCATTTTTAACCCAAGCTTTTTGTAATTCAATTGGTCATCTCAACTGCAAACAGAAGTATTGTTTCTACAAAGGTAATTTAAAGCCAGAATTCACACAGGTATCCTTTTTTCTTTTAACCACTGTAAGTTCCTTCAACAGCGTTACTGCAAGTAAGATTCAAGCATGATTCTCAAGATTCACCACACCATCTTGAATTTGAACACGGGGAGGGGAAATTTACAGAACCAATGTAGAATAAAAATGGGCCCTAAATTTCGGTAAGAAATTATCGTCGTTTTTTATAACCACCCAAAAAGGTATCAACAAGACATCTAGAAATTTATGACGTGGCAATTCAACTTTAGTAAAGTTAAAATGGTCTTATTACCTCACTTAAAATGCGTCAGGGGAACAAAATATAAGGACATTATTAGATGATACCAAAGTGCCTCCCGTGCAAGTCCTGAAGATAGCGGCATTCGAAGGGGGCAGCAAGTGAAGCATCAACTGGACATTTACTGCAAACCCGTTACCAGAACTTGGAAAAGAATGGACCTCGTATTCCTAGATCTTGGTGACCAGAAAGGGTGAGGGTTTGCTTGCAAAGAGTATGGGCTCAAGGCTGTCTGGAGCAGGGTCCTGTACCCGCCCTACCACTTTGCAGGACGAAAAAACAATGTATTCTCCTTAAAATAAATTATGTCCTAACATGGGACGAAACCCGGTTGCAAGGCACGAGTATTCCTTCCCTCGTGTTAAAAACCAACGCTTTGATTTTGCCGCAAATCACAGGGCACCACAATTCCTCGAGATTGGCATTAAAAACAATGGGCTCAGCTGCGGCGCGGGCTCGGGGCCAGCGTTCCTCGGGTCCGGCCGTCGCCGGTGCCTCCCCCCCACTCCCGTGGCCACACTCCATCACTGACCAAGCCCGGGCGAGGTGACAGGCAAGGAACGGAGCAGACAATGGCATCCGCCGCCGCGCAGGGGGCGCCAAGAGTCTTCGGCCGCCACTGCCCCCGGCCCCTCCCGAAAACGCCCCGCAAAACTTGAGGCGATTCCCGAACCACAGGTGCCGCGGGGCTGTCGCGGAGCCCGGGACTGGCCCCCACATCCCCGGGCGCGGCGCGGAGAGGTGCGGAGGACGCGGACCCTGAGAGAAGTGAGTTGCAGGCGCGGCGACCCAGTGGCGGGCCGGGCAGGCTCGGGGTGGGGTCGCGGGGCGCGCGCGGGGTGGCGGGGGGCGCGCCCAGCCCTCCCTTCCCCTCTCCATCCCCGGCGCCCCCTTTCGTCCCCGGGGACTTACGGCGGCCGCGGGCCGCGGGCGCGGCGGAGCTCGGCCGGCGGCGGCGGCGGCGGCGGCGGCGGCGGCTAAGGGGAAGCCCCTGTCGCCGTGCTGAGGAAGAGAAGCCGTGGTGCTGTGGGGAGGGGACCCGGCTGGCGGAGGGCAGGCTTAGGCGGAGAGGGGAGGGCGAGCTGACAGACCCCGCCCCGGGGGCTGGACGAGGGAGGAGCCGGGGCTGCGGCGAGCTGAGGGGCGGGCTAGGCGACGCGCGGGAAGCGGCTCAGCAGTTGCCAGCGGCACCGGAGGCAGCGCAGGTAACCGCTGAATCCAAGGAAGCCGATTGGAGGCTTCTTCGCTGAGGGGGTGGTGCGAACCGGAAGCCGGGCCACGTGACCCGGAAGCGGCGTCTGCCGGGCCGGCGCGCCCGCGCACTCCTGCTGGTGCCTCCGGGACGCGCGCGGGCGGCTATGCTGCCTGTTTAATGATAGGAGGACGGGATTCTGCAGCGTCCTCAGCCTAGCCGGAGGTGCGGGGCCGGGAAGTTCCAGACAGCGAAGAGCCTCGTTTGAGCTCTAATGATTCTCTGTGTCCCCAGAGGGTGGGTCGGGGAGGTGTGACGGCTGACGACAAGGGTGGGAGGAGACGAGGGAGTGCTGCAACTCTGGAAAAACAAGTCAGCTCTTCTGTGGAGCTCGTCACCCATTCACGGGCATTTTGCTATCATTCTGCCTCAAAATTGTCCGGAATCCGGCCTCTCCTTCCCATTGCACTGCTCCAGCCCTAGCCCAGACACCTTTCGCCCCAGGCTTCGCGGGAGTCTGTTCCCTGGGCTCGCCTCGCCCATCCTCGGTGCTGCGGAGTTACCATCCGTTCGGCTGAAAAGCCCGGACAGCACCTCACCTTCGAGATCCCGCTTCCTTCACACTGGGTCGCCCCACCCGCCGCCTGGGTTCCAGTTTAGCACTGCCGACGACTTGCTGTGCCTGGCATGCCCTTGCTCTCTAATGTCACATCTCCTATGAAGCCTCACCCTAAAACCCTGTAAGAGCGATTCCCTCTTTCACCCACATGCCCGTTAGCCTTTATTTAGCACACCTTAAGTTGTATTCATTTTGCATCCCAGTCTAGTTCACTGCCTGGTGTATAACACAATAAATGTGAGTTGACTGATAAAGACCATAAAATGATAAATTTGTTAAGAGCTGTAATGCTGAGCGTAATGCCGGGGCATAATGGATGTTCGTAATTTTCTGAATGATAGAATGGATGAATCATCTAGTCATTTACAGATAAGGAAAGGGGAGTCCCACGGGATTAGGTGACCTTCCTTGAAGAGCCACGGGTTTCCCATATCGCATGCTATTCATTATCCGAGTCACCTAGGTTCCTACAAAGGAAGCGAGAAAATTGCTTTTGTTGGGCCATGTCCCTTTTGCAGAGGTTCCTAGGTATAGTCGCCAGAATTTTTTTAATGGCCTAAAGTAAAAAAAGAAATGCTAATTTTTTCACGAAGCTAAATGTAATCAATGTAAAGGAATCCTTTATAAGGAATTATATTCTTTTTGTGTGCATTTTAGTATCTACGAAACTAAGTAGTTTTGGGGGCATTTTAAAAAAGGCCTTTGTATGACAAAACAAAAAAATGTGTAATACTTCCCCTTTTCAAGCACTACTATGCTGCTTGCAAAGTCTCCTACTAACATGTATGATTAATGTATACTGGAATATTAAAGAAAGGGGATGACACATGGCACAGAGCTGACTTTCTGTAGTTCTTTAGGTCTCCTTCGCCCCCAACAGATTTCTCCCTACCCAGTCATGCCCCAAAGGTACTTTCAAATGTCCCATTTCTCTCTTACTACAAGAAACAGATGCCATTAACCAGTTAAAAGATAGCTCTAATGCTACACAATGAAAACTCGCCCTCTGAATTCAAATGCTTCTTTTCTCTTTTTCTGTACAAAACACTTACATCCTCAAGGTTCCTGAGATAGCCACCTCCAAGTTTAAACTGATTATCCTCCTAATGTTGCTCTGTGGCTCTGAAAATGAGGACGGGAGACTTGCTGATGACATACTGGCAGTCTCCCTTCCTGCTCCTAGCCAAAAAAAGGTGGGGGTAGGGGTAGGGAGGGGAAGGAATTGTGGGAAAAATAATTAGCTGCTGAAAGCAGCTATTACATAATCTTGGCTGCTTATTAATTTAGCAGAAGGAATGGCTTATTAAATTCTAATAGCAGCAGCACAACTGCAAACAACCTAGCAATTACCAGTGCAGGGCCCATTATTTTGTTAATATGTTCTCTTCTTCTGGCAAGTGTATGAGAACAAAATTTATAGAAGCAGATGGTCTTTTTCAGTAGATTATAGATGGTTTATTCCCTAGTCTTAGTATTAAGTGCTAATTATGCATTCACTGTGAAAGACAAAAGAAACATGGTTGCCATCTTTGTTAGTAATTAACTGCTTGACTTTGATTCCCACAATTTCCCAATGGTAGGCTTTGTTATATACATGTTTCTTCTCACCTAGTATCTTCTTCATCTGTCATGTCAATTGGTTGTCTTTTCTAATCCTCTGTTTTTGTTTTCTACATGGTCCTGATTTATTGGTATTAATGATATAAGAATTATATACAAAATTCGTTTCATGAAAAATTAAAAATCAGATTTTATACTTGTTTCTTAGATTTGAAAAAAATGCTTCACTGTCATTTATGCTAAATGTAAGAGGTGAGGGGAAAATAGAAATCTTTACCTTCTAACAATAAAATTTTGAGACTTTTTATGTAATCTTTCCAAAGTTTTCAAAAATAATTTTAGTTTCCTATTAATTATGTGATGGCCATATACTTTTATCCTCTCACTCTCTCAAAATACCATTAAATTTTTTTTTAAAGGGACTATTTAAAACACATACCCACGTGGAAAATAAGAGAGAGAACATTTACATGAGGATGTCGATAAGGATGTCAGGATACACTGTCAGCTCGTCATTTAAACATTTAAAGAAAAATTGTAATATATTGATATTATGGAGGAGCAGAAGTGAGGGGAGGTTGAAATAATGCTAAATCCTCATGTGCTAAAGGGAAGAAAATAGATAACATCTAAAATAAATCACGAACTAGAATTGTTAGCATATTCTTTAGATACTGGGAAGTAAATCCCAGAAGCAATGGTGACTTTCTTTCCATGGACAGAATCTTGCAGTAGGAAGTAATAAAAGGTATTACTACATTTTACTTAGGTTTTCTCTTAAATAATTTTTTAAACTATTGTAACGAAATAGATAAAAACCATTCAGTTAGTTGCTAGCTCTGTATTATGGACTTATACAGAGTTCCTTTAGCCAGTCTATAGATTATTTAGAAATTATTAAATAAAAATGCCCAATAACGGAATTCAGTGCTGAAGCCTTGTAGAAGATCACAGAAAGTGTAAAAAAGATGCTTAGAGTTTGTGAATTTGCATCTCCAAAGATAAAGTTGTTCCAGGGAGAAAAATGGCCTAAAATAATGAGGATTTGTGAACCAAATCATTTCAAAATAGATAGAGCTGTCACTGCCAAAGTCCTCAACAATGAGCTAAAGAGAAATGTGGAACATATGCTCTTTCTCGAAGCCTGTTTCCATAGCTTTGAATAAAATGCAGGAAAATTACTACTACCCTATTAACATTAGGATAGAGCAGTGATTCTCAGCCTGGGCCCTTTTGCCTCCCAGGGGACACTTGTCAGTGTCTGGAGACATTTTGATTGTCACAACTAGGAGTAGTAGGTGATGCTGCCAGCATCTAGTGGGCAGAGACCAGGGATGCTGCCCAGCATCCTGCAATGTACAAGACAGATCCCATAGCAAAGAATGATCCAGCCCCAAATGTCACTAGTGCCAAGGTTGAGGAAGAAATTCTGGGTTAGTCACTGAAAAGATTAACATGCAGTAGCATATTTTTATAGACATTTCAAGAAATGGAACAAACACTATCTTCATGTAAGTTTCTCTTTCTCTCTCTCTGCAACCCCCCTTTCTCGGAGTTGTAGGCATTGTTCTTAATATCTGCTAGATAAAATCCTAAACTGCTGAAAAGACTGGCGGCATACATAAAGCAGTCAGTAGTATATAATAGCAACTAGAATAAACTATCCAAAATGATTTTTTAAAAAATGACCCCAGAATATTAGTAAAAGTTACTTAAACACTTGAATCCATGAAATGCCTATTCCATCCATCCATATATTGTAAATGTTTGTTAGGTATCTGCTTTATACTGGGGCACTCTGGAAGGTAATGAAGATATAAAGACAAATAAGATATTGACTTGGTCCTAAAGCTCCATTTCTTCTGACACAGAATTTCAAGTTTAGAGACAAACCCTAGATGGTCAAAGGATAGTCATCAACCAAATGTATGAACATTTTCTTTTAGGAAACCCCTAGAAATGCTTCATAGAACCTTAGATTTCTGTAACCAACACGTTTGAAAACTCTGTGCTCTCATGACCTCCCAGGGCTCTTCACAATATTTTCATTCGATGAATTTCTTTGTCACTCTTAATTCACAGCAATATAAGAGAGAGATTCTGTATGTTTTAAACAAACGATTTCAAATAATGTCTTGATTTGATCCTTGAAGTGAAATGCTTAAACAATGATCTAACTCAACTCCAAATTGCTAAACCAGTGGTTCTAGAATATTCTCTTAGAGGACTTGTGAAAATACAGATTGCTGGGCCTCATTCCCATAGTTTCTGATTCAGGAGGCCTGAGGTGAGGCCTGAGAATTGCATTACTAACAAGTTTCCAGGTGATGCTGATGCTGTTGGTCTGGGAACCACACTTTGAGAACCATTGCTCTATACCAAAAAAAGCTATGATATCCAACTAGAAAGTTGTAATATAATTTTCATGGTCTAAAGGAAACTTGAGATCTGAATATTTTTTTAATCACTGACCTCATGAAACCCGAGAACATTAGAAGAGTAATATTCCCAGTTATATTCACCTGAAGCTAAATCTACATGCACAACTGAGAATGACATATGGTCATTGTATGTCCTGCACAAACTAATTCACTATAATATTCTAAGGCAGAAATTGGAGTGCTTAGGGAAACTTGAAGGTTGCATCATAAAAGTCAGATGCTTACTTGATGAAAATCACTACCTTAAAAATATTTCCCAACTACTCATGGCAAGTAGGAGTCACCTCTGAAATATTTTGTCACCAACTAAAGACGTGGGGTAGAAAGGAAGAAGTCTAGAGGGAACAGCTAGAGAGAATCAATGTGCCCTGGGGGTAAGGCAGAGACCAGAGACCGCTAAGCAGTAATCAAAACCTGCCCGTTCTCTTCCTTAG